CTAACCAAAACCCCTAGATCCAAGGATTGTGATTTTGCCACATGGGTGGATTTTGGTTAGTTATTTAATTTTTAATTTTTTTCTTGGTTAGTAACCAAATTGTCCCTTCTTTAAACGTAATGTATATGAAATTTATGATAAATTAATAGAATTATAAAATACATCGAGGAAGCATTACAATATTACATGGATTGGTGGCATATAGAATTGGTTATAACTTAGAAGTAAAATAAAAAGAAGAGTAAAACTCATATTTGAGAGAGGACCAGAGCAATGGATACTAAAGACACGACGATCACATTTCTCTTCGTCGAGCTTTCGTTACTCCATGGAAACGTTTTCGATCCTGTTTCCAAATTTCATCGATTATACAAACAAAAAAAACAAGAGTTTTTAGCAGTTTATTTTCAAAGTGAAATTCTTTCTAAAAATTTATAAAATGAATGAGTTAAAGTGTGTATATATATAACCTGATGGTGAAAAAACACTCTGAGGTGAATTTACCGGAGAGCTCGTCGGAGATATAGTTGGTCCGTTACTTCCGTCTATCATACAAAATTCCATGGTTTTATAATTAATTATGATAAGATATATAGTTTCAAAAAAAAAAAAAATGTTATAAAACCACAATTTCTTGATCAAGAAATTAGATAAATATTTTTGAAGTGTACAGAAGAATGTTTATAGCTTTGTAAAAATGTGTCTCTCTTTCAATACTTGATTTTTTTCACAAAACTCGAAAAGTATTTGAATCAAAGGACTCATAGTTAATATTTTTTTGTATATAAGAAAAAAACTTCTAATTAAGAATATTAGTTTTAATAAGTTTGTTACCTTTACAATGGCTAGGCGATGGAGTTTGAACGTTACATACGGTGGGAAGATTGAGAGCCAAAGTTCGGTTAAAGCTAAATCCCGAAAATGAGTTTTCTTTGCTATTGACCACCATGCACAAACATTCTGGTGAAGAGTGAACCACCGTGAGAAATTGATCACAACAATTCGAAGTAGGTGATGATGAGCCACCGGTGAGGTAACCAAGACAAGGGAAAAGGCTGGTCAGAGCGTCGCTGCATCCAGACTGAGCCATGGCTCCACCGTATAGAACGGTGGTTAGTATAAGGACTACCAATGCATAAACCATTTTGTTTGGGGCTTTTTGAAATTGTTTTGAAACTTTGGGGGTATGATTTATGAAACTGTATGGTATAAGACCATTAGGGTGACACTTATATAGAAGTTAAAATCGGTTAAGACTTGGATCAACCTGAATATATGCATTGCTTTTAGGATTTAACTTTTGTGTTAATGTGTATGGTTAAAGTTAAACCAAAAATATTACCATATAATTTAATGAAACCAAGCCAAAACTAGCAAAATTTCACAACTTTGTTAAATGTTACAGTTGAAACTGATGAAATAAATAAGGGGTAAGCATAGTTCGAATCCAACAATTATGTTTTTGATAATTTGTTGGTAATGAATGGTAGATGATGATTTAAGGTAAAACGTTACCAATGACAAAGGTAAAACTTATACGATATAGTTACACTCAGTATTTGAGAAATTGCTTTATTTCGAATATTGATTACGCAATTACTAAACCAATTATTTCTTCGGTTAAGCAAATCTATAGAGTTTTCAATGTTATAGCCTTTGTTTCTAATTTCAGAATTCAGTTATGGGTTAGTGATCGTGTAGTGGTTTGGAGGGATTTCGTAGTGGTTTTAAGTGTAGGTTTGTGACTGCCCTGTGGTGGGATTTGTGGCTCCCCGGTTGCGGAATCGACTATTCTACTATGTATTTCACTAATAACGGAATTTGTAGAAGAATTTATCAACAAACAAACCAAATCAACCCAATGTTTATTAGAACAAAGAATCGACATTTACAATGGCTAATCCCTGAAAAGGGAAACGAATTAGCACAAAGAAGATTTACAATCTAGAAACCCAGCGAATTTGAAAGAAAAAGTCGTTACAATTTCAGAAATTGAATGAATGAATCACTAAGAAGAAGACGAGCTCGAGTATATCTGTTCTTCTTCCTCCTTGTTTTACTAAACACGTGTCTTTTTCTTATTGGTTTTCTTCTTTATTTCTGTTATTTGCATTTTAGTCCTCTAATTTCTTCTTCTTCCTATTATTTACTCCTTTCTTTTTCCTGTAACATTCACCTTGTGGTTTTTAATAAATTCACCAGATGGAAAAAAAAAAAAGCAAATCTATAGAGTTTCTTCTAGGCTAGAATTTAATGGGCCCTTCGAATCTCTCATCATCAATGGTTAAAGAGTCATCGCGTATGTGAAATTAAGCTTTTTTATAGCCTTTGCTCAGTAAAGACTTCGTCTTTTGTCCTAATCTTCCAGTAGTGTCTGTGTTTTTGCTTCAGCTTGAAGATTGTACATGCCCACTCGGTTCGCACTCCACTTGTTCGATGAAATGACTGAGAGAAACTAGCAGCAGTTTCCTTCAGTTCTACATACTAACTGAGAGGCTTCAAACTTGGTCTGACGAATCGAAGAATAAAAAAAGATGTTTTTATGGAGGAAAACGAAGCTTCAGGCTGTTTCAGTTCACCACTGTCGTTTGTGTTCTTTGTTTCGTGGAGCCATTGAAGTTACAGGTACTCAATCTCAAGCTTCTTTACAACATGGTTTGGCGGGTAAAACTCTGTCTAACGCAAGAAACATCAGTGTGTTATCTAAGCTTCGTACTAGTATCAGGTTCGATGTATGGTCTATCGATAGAACAGAAGCATTTTCAACCATTTCTGGATCTATTTTGCTTCAAGCCAGAGATCCTGCAAAACTCAACGAAGAAATTCAAATTGCAGTTGATGAACATAGATGTGATGAAGCTTGGAGATTGTTTGAACAACATATGCAAATGGATGGTTTCCCTCGGAAATCTGTTGTTAACAATGTTTTGGTTTGTTTTGCTGAGAGTCTTGATTCCAATTGGCTACAAAAGGGTTACAGTTTAGTGGAACAAGCTTTTGAGGAGAGTAAACAGAATTTGCTAGAGAAAGAACCTCTTGTGTATCTCTCCTTGGCTCTTGCCAAGTCAGGCATGGTTGTTCCTGCGTCAACGATCTTGAGGAAGCTAGTGGAGACAGAAGAGTATCCTCATGTGAGTGCTTGGTCAGCGGTTTTGGCACATATGTCTCTTGCAGGATCAGGAAGTTATCTTTCTGCTGAGTTGATTCTTGAGATTGGTTACTTGTTTCAGAATAACAGAGTTGATCCACGGAAGAAGAGCAACGCACCTTTGCTTGCAATGAAGCCTAATACTCAGGCGTTGAACATTGCTTTGGCAGGTTGTTTGTTGTTTGGAACAACGCGGAAAGCTGAACAGCTTCTTGATATGATACCGAAGATAGGTGTTAAAGCTGATGCTAACTTGTTAGTAATAATGGCTCATATATACGAAAGAAATGGGAGGAGAGAGGAATTGAGGAAGCTTCAAAGGCATATAGATGAAGCTTGTAACTTGAAGGATTCTCAGTTTTGGCAGTTCTATAATTGTTTGCTTATGTGTCACCTCAAATTCGGGGATCTCGAATTTGCTTCGAAAATGGTTCTAGAAATGCTAAGGAGAGGAAAGGTAGCAAAGAACTCACTTGGATCCGCCATTCTTGGATTTGATACTGCAGATGATGATGATAGGTTAAAGCTCAGAAAAGTTACTGAAATAGGATCAGAGGTTAAAGAACACGATACTCCCAAGACTCAAGTGTTTTCTATTCACAGTATGATTACTTATGAAGATTTCTCTAGAGACAGGAAGTTTTTGAAACTTGAAGCTGAGACAAAGGATGTTCTTGGGGCATTGTTGGCTAAGTTGCATGTACAAGTAGAATTGATTACCTCAGAGCGTGGTGTTCTGCAGCCTACTGAAGAAATTTATGTGAAATTAGCAAAGGCCTTCCTGGATAGTGGTAAGATGAAGGAGTTAGCAGAGTTTCTGTTAAAGGCAGAACATGAAGATTCCCCTGTTTCTAGTGATAACTCAATGCTGGTGAATGTTATCAATGCATGTATTTCTCTAGGAATGTTGGATCAAGCACATGATCTACTCGACGAGATGCGTATGGCTGGGGTAAGAACCGGTACTTCAGTATATTCTTCGCTCCTCAAGGCTTACTGCAAAACAAACCGAACTAGAGAAGTATCATCACTCCTAAGAGATGCTCAGAAGGCAGGGATTCAAATAGACTCAAGCTGCTATGAAGCTTTAATTCAATCTCAAGTGATTCAGAACGATACTCATGGAGCTCTCAATGTGTTCAAGGAAATGAAAGAAGCAAAAATACCGAGAGGAGGAAATCAGCAGTTCGAGAAGCTCCTAAAGGGATGTGAAGGAAACGCAGAAGCAGGACTTATGTCGAAACTCTTGAGAGAAATCAGAGAAGGGCAGAGTTTGGATGCTGGTGTTCATGATTGGAACAACGTGATCCATTTCTTTACCAAAAAAGGTTTGATGCAAGATGCAGAGAAGGCATTAACGAGGATGAGAAGTCTCGGGCATTCGCCGAATGCTCAAACTTTTCATTCTATGGTCACAGGATATGCAGCCATAGGGAGTAAATACACAGAGGTCACTGAGCTATGGGGAGAAATGAAATCCATAGCCGCAGCTACTTCATTGATGAGGTTTGATCAAGAGTTACTCGATTCAGTGCTCTACACTTTTGTTAGAGGCGGGTTTTTCTCGCGGGCTAATGAAGTTGTGGGGATGATGGAGAAAGATAATATGTTTGTTGATAAGTACAAGTATAGGGTGCTCTTCTTGAAGTATCACAAGACTGCTTACAAAGGCAAAGCTCCAAAAGTTCAGAGCGAGTCTCAGCTCAGGAAGAGAGAAGCTGGTTTAACATTCAAGAAATGGCTCGGTCTATCTTGATTATTATTGTAATAAAATTTGTAGTGTATGATAATAAGCAGGAGCTACCTTCAATCTTGAGTCGCACAGATCTGAACAGAGGAAGTATAAACACTGATAAAGCTTTGGATTTTGTAAGATTTCGATTTATATACACAACCAAATGCTTATTAGTTCAGATCTCGAGTAAGCCAGCGGATGGGTTCGATCAATCACCAATCCTGTTATTTATCCTGCAAAGATTGCGAAACTGGTGGAGTTGGATGAAATATTCAAAGGAAGATATGAATGTATAAAGGAGAAATAGGTTAGTACGAAACTACCACTAACCTTGGATCCTGAACAGAGCACTACCATCTGAGACCTGTTGGCCTGCTTTAACTTTGAGGTCCTGTACGCTTCCAGAAGACGGGGATTTCACAACGTGCTGAACCACCAAAGTAAAGGAGAATAAAATGATAATTAGTGTACGGTTTGATATATTCATGGTATCTGGCTTCGGTGTAAGAAAAGGTTTGTATACTAACCTCCATCTTCATTGCCTCTAGGACTAATATAGGTTGACCTTGATCTACTTTGGCTTCGTTTTCGACAAGGACCTTGACTACCAAACCAGCCATGGGAGCCACAATGGTTCCTGGAGGGTGTGATGATGTTTCTGAGCTGGTTCTGTGTTGGACACCTTCTTCATCTTCAGAGAATCCGATTCCTACCTTCTGTTTGAATTGATGGTGTTCTGAACCGTGCCATATGTGGATGTGCTTATAGCCATCCTGATACCAAAAACACACCATAAGCAGGAGTATCGAGAGAGACAGAAAGAGCATGACATAAAGCTGTGAAGAGTTGCTTACCTTCAAGTACGTGGCTACAGTAACATTCATGCTCAACCCGGCCGCTTCAACTCTAAAGTCACACTTTCTTACTTGAGTCACTCTGACTTCTAAACTTGGAGAATCATTGCCTTCCTGTCTCGTGGTCAAACATCAAAATCCCAATTATATAGGACTCAATAAATGAAGTATGAATATGATACAGTAATGGGTTTCATCACCTTCTTTTTGAATGAATCTCATAGTGAGTTCATACCTGTATGAGATAGCTTCCATCTGGTTGATATATCAAACCGAGTGATATAAGGTTCGAGCCATTGCTGTAGCATTCATTATCCCACTCTAGCTCAATCGTTTGTTTGGCTTCATGATGGACCCTAAAAGGAGGATGAGAATACCATAGCGATGGAAGTTTCCCTGCATGAGTTTAGACATAATGGATTAATGCATACTCGAGAATCATGTAAATTGTGAAGAAAAGACTGGACTCATGTGAACTGACCAAGATTACTTTCATTCCAATCAGAATTCTCGATTGAGGAGACACAAGCAGCCACCAATGCTGCACTATGCTTAACTTCCTTGTATGCCACTTCTGCTGCAGCTGGATTGCTTTCATCAGCAAACAGATCACTTTTATGGTGCTCAATGAAATGAGTTTCTACATTCCCCACTGAAAACTCCTTATGACTAGCAAGTTTTTGAAGGAAATTTATATTTGTAGGTACACCTGCTACCTGCCAACAAAGATACCATGTCATTATTGAAATGCTGTAGTAACTAAGAAATGATGTACGAGAATCTCAAGAAAGTTTCTAAAGAAATTCATAGATGGAACCATAAGAGTTTGACAATTTATAGTTATGCTGAGATATAATTGCCACTGCAGAGAACTCCAAAACATTGTTACAATTTACCTGAAAGTTAGACAAGGAATCCTTCAGTTTCACTAAAGCTTCACCACGATTACCTCCCCAGACAACAAGCTTTGCAATCATAGGATCATAGTGCATGCTAACAGTGTCTCCTTGCTCAACTCCAGTTTCAACCCGAACTGCAACAGAAAAATTTCAACATGAAAGAGCTTCATAGCAGGACAAAACAGGGTCGGTCTGATGTCTACGAGACAATACAACTTTCCATCAGATGGAAAAAAGTTGTGTACACAATTTTGTACCTGATGATGAAACTGCAACAGGGCGATAATGATTGAGGACTCCAGTTGCAGGAAGAAATCCTTTTGGAACATTTTCAGCGTATATCCTAGCCTCAAAGGCATGACCTGCCAAGAGGATAAATATGTGGATCAAATATATATTAACAGCTGCAATATAATAGATATACTTTCAGAAAAACTTATTGATACTGTACTTTTTTTGTCAGAAGTAATATCTTGGAAAATCATGGATTCAATAGGAAAAACAAATTAAGGGATGAGAATGAACAAAGAAACTAATTTCCATTTCTGTCAAGGAGGAAGAGTGATACCTGACATTGGCACCTCGGATTGACTTATGGGGAGAGGTTCCCCATTGGCAACCCGAATTTGCCACTCCACAAAATCTTGACCAACAATCATCTCTGTTACAGGATGTTCTACCTAAGAAGGATCATCAGTGTTTCATTTATATAATCAAACTTTATTGAAGTCAATTATATTAAACACATTAGATCAAAGAAGCACCTGAAGCCGGGTGTTCATTTCCATAAAATAAAATTGATCAGACTCGGTATCGACGATAAACTCCACCGTTCCAGCATTGTGATATCCAACTGCCTTTAATATCAGAAGGTAACAGAATATAAGCGCTTCTTGTGGAAGTTGAAGTGAAAGATAGCCTAGCAAGAAGAGGTTATAAGAGACTACACATCAATCGAACTCAGATCAACAATGGTATACTTCGATCAAATAACGCATGATCAGATATTAGTAATACAAAACGTGGATATAGAAAAAGAGACACATGAGACATACAGTCTACTACGATATATGAATGAATGCAATATACAGAGCATGGTAATGAAAAAATTCCGACTACAATTTTTCACAGAAAACCATTAAATCTGTAAGAGATGAAAGCAGGATTTAAAGGGATACCCGTGCCGCAGAGACAGCAGCTTGGCCTAAGTTTGCGCGGAACTTTTCAGATATATTAGGCTACACCAACAGAGTTTCATTCAGATTCACATCCATTTATACTAGAAAAGATATGAACCAATAACAGAAAGCAACAGAGTCATTACTGCAGGAGCTTCTTCGATAATCTTTTGGTGTCTTCTTTGCACACTGCAATCCCTTTCGTACAGATGAAGAACATTCCCATGTTTGTCACCAAATATCTAAAAGCAGTGGAAACACATATGTAAAATCAGTTAAAATTCTAGAAAAAGCTAAGAGCCAGAAACGGTTCCTCTATGAATATGCCAGAAAAGTTTAACTTAATCCATAGAGCTCAAACAGAACATGGCAGTAGATATAGACGTTAACGCTTTATACCAAAGTAATAATATCTGTCTCCCTTGTATACATACTAATTGGGTTTCAAGGCACTATAACCAGAGTTTCATAAAAGAAACAGAATATGGAATGTCACGACCCACTACCTGGACTTCTATATGTCTTGGTCGAGTGATGTATTTCTCAAGAAGAATTGTGTTAACGCCAAAAGAAGCAGCAGCCTCACGTTGAGCCCCCAAAAACGCGTCAGCAAAATCCTTCTCACTTTGCACTATCCTCATTCCCTAAAAACAAAAGCTTACTTAAAAAAATGAACGTTGAAAGGGCATCAAACTTATTGATCAATGATCTTTATTTCCGCGACTAAATGTTTCCGGAGCCAGTAATACGCCAGTGTTTTCAAGTCGACATGAGTAATGTGACAACAAGCTATCTATTGGATAAATCAATGTCGTAGATCATAACATACCTTCCCCCCACCTCCATGTGTTGGCTTGATTATTATAGGGTAACCAATCTTTCCCGCTTCTGACTTCATGTGATCAATATCTTGCTCATGGCCATGATATCCAGGCACGAGAGGAACTCCAGCAGCGCCCATTATTCTCTTGGACGCACTAAATAAATACATACGAGGGACATATCGTCAACCATTAAGGACCAAAAACAGCTTGTACAAAGAATCATGAAGCAATAGTAAGCATGCCATATTACCTTTTATCACCCATGTCTCTAATTGCAGACGCTGGAGGTCCAATGAATGTCAGACCTGAATCTTCACAAAGTTGGGCAAAGTCGGAACTTTCTGACAAGAATCCATAACCAGGATGTATTGCCTATTTATGATTCAAAGAAAACATCAACTACAGAAAAACAATTATCGTTAAAAGAAACAACCTCAGTCCAATTTTCATGCAGTCTGAATCATATATAAGCAAGAAACATTCATATGAAGACACAATAGCTAAAATAAGATCATTTCATCAATTATTCATCCATTTTTTTGGCTCATTTCTGTTGATCCTAATTCCTAATCCCCCAGCTTTTTTTTTTATCATCACGCATGAGAAGCACCACGTTCAAATTCCAATTCCAGTGAAATCTCGGGAACTAAATAAGAGACTAATCAGAACTCGCACCTGTGCACCAGTCCGAGCCGCTGCCTCCATGATAGTCGCGCCGCTGAGGTAACTGAGCCGAGCCGGAGGCGGGCCAATCCGTACCGCTTCATCGGCAGATTTCACATGGAGGGAATCTCTATCAGCGTCACTGTAGACCGCAACTGTCTGAATCCCCAGACGCTTCGCCGTTCTCATGATCCGGCAAGCAATCTCGCCTCTGTTTGCCACCAAAACCTTCTCAATACACCGGTCCTTAGGCTTGATCGTAGCTCCGTCAGAGATATATCTAACGAGCATCGAGTAACTTTCCCGGCGAACATTCCGACGAAATGCCCATACCGTCATCGACATTGATCTTCGATTTCGATTTTTCCGAAGTGAGTGATAAAACAAGTGTGACTCAGCAACTGCGTTGTTTGTAGTTGTAGATAAAACGAGGGTTTTTTGGTCATTTTAAAGAAACTATATCAACGATGGCTAGTGACGTGGCATGGTTGGTCCTCGAAGTGGATATGCGTCTGATGTGCCGCTTGCGTTGCGTCTTTACCCTCTCTCTCACTTTACAAGTATGGGGCTGTGGGCTTCAATATTTAGTAATGGGCCTAATCACAATGCGGCTACAAGGCGTTGTTTCCATTTTGAAATTATTTTCAGTAACAATCTGAATCGCAGTGATGTTTATGTATTTTTTAATTTCACTTGGTCAAACTATTAACTGACTTGGTGATTTGGTTAATATAAAAAAGAATCAACCTTGGAAATAACCGATTATTTTCGAAAAGACACAATTTTAAATAACCATAAAGCGGTTATATCGAAAATGTAATTCTTGTAAAATCGGTTATATGGTAAAAACGCAACCCTTGGTCCACAAAAAAAACGTTTTGCCTTCTTCACTCATTCCACGGATTGGAACCATAGCCATTCATCTAACCAATAAAACAATTCATGGATTTTTACGCCATTTAAATTGATTCATTTTTAAGTTAGCATTTTTAAATCATCCAATGCATATAAAAAATATAGTTGATAACCAAATTACTTGTGGGTGCCTCTACTTTGTAGTTTGGTAAGCTTATGGGAATGAGAAGACACGCATTTTCAAGAACATGTGCACACTTTGTGCTTTGCCGGCAATTGCTAACTGAAAAAATACGAGTTATGGTTCATCTACACTGAGAAACCAATCAGATTTTTCCTCCGTGAATTTGCAATGGTATCAGGACTAGATTGTAGTTCACCTTCACCAAACTGTGAGTTCATAAGTCTCTCTCCCTGCTTCTTATCGAGTGCCCCATCAATAGCGTGTAGCCATTTATCAACTCTAAAGTAGACATTCACTTTCCCGTGAGAAGGTTCGTGATCGTAAGTGAAAAGCTTAGACGGCAAATCCCCTGCAATCTGCATATATTGGAAAGGTTCACAAGGTATGGGTACCATCTCACCAACAACATTTCTTCTACTAACTTAGTGCAAAAGCTAAGGCTAGGTTCCAAGGAAGCAATTGGTACCTTTTCGTCCACAAGCTTCTCTAGAATCGATCCTTAGGCAATCAATTATGTTCCACTACTATTTTGTCTCCTCTTCTTTTGTTTTTGGGACGACCCATGTTTAATAAACCTTGTTTCAAGATACAAAACCGGTAATTTTCTTGCATTTCTTTATCCTTCTTTCAACTTTTTCAATGTAAAAATTTGAAACTGAAGTGAAAAGAAGTATTCTCCATCCAAATTGTCTATGTGAATTCATCAAGAAATGATGTCAGCTTGCAAATAATGATCAAGATTAATCTATTTGCTACTAACTGGATTTTAGTTACCTATGCAGACTCATAGAAAATTAATGTCTTACAATTTTCAATATGTAGAGACGGTGTTTGCAGACACTCAACCTCTGATCCGCTCTGTTTAGGATGGTTATAGTGTTTGCATATTTGCTAATGGCCAAACAGGATCTGAAAAAACTTTCACCATGGTAAAATTTTCGACTTAATCTGCATGTGGAAATAATGGTTTCCTCGTTTATAATTTTCTTATGATAATTAATTAGATGGGACCTAATGAACAGATTTTCTTATGATAATTAATTTGATGGGACCTAATAAATAGACGAAACAGAGCATTGAGTGATCTCTTTCATCTGTCAAGGGTGAGAAAAAACGTGTTCTCATATAACATTTCAGTTTAGATGATTGAAATCTATAATGATCAAGTCCGAGATCTCCTTGCCATTGACGGCCAAACCAGGCGATATCCTTTATAAGCTTTATCTTTTTAAACCCTACTGTTTTTCTCTTGTTATGGGTTCTATTTTTCTTGACTTGTGAACACATTAGATATTCATAATTGTTCACTAGATGGAATCAATGTTTCAAAGGCTAGATTGGTTCAAGTCTCCACAACCCAGCAGGTCATTGACGTGATGAATATTGATCAAGAACCGTGCAGTCAGTGCCACAGCCATTAATGGCCACATCAGTCGCTCTCACAGGTTTCACTTTCTGTTGAACATAATTTTGTTGTCACTGTTTGAAAATGAAAATAATTTGGACTTGAAGAAATTTGATATATTGGATTTCTTATTTTGCTAGGAATATAAAACTAAAAGAGAAATGATAAATATATAGAGCATAACAAAAAGATTAATATTATATTTGGTCACTTGTAAGCATAAGTACTCGCTCTATAAACTTAGTTCTTGCTTCCGAAGTCACTTTCAATCCTAATTTTTGAATTTCTTGTTAGGATGATTATATGGTCATCAAACTTGTCATATCCTAAGAAATTCAAGAAAGTTAATAGTTGTCACTATTCTCTTACATGTTTTATATTTCATATATGCAGTTGTCTCATGGTACACATTCAAGGAAGAGATCTCACATCAGGAGCTACTCTAAGGAGTACGATGCATTTGGTAGATATTGCCGGAAGCGAAAGGGTTGAGAAGTCTAAGGTCACCGGTGATAGGTTGGCATAGACAGTACATATCAACAAGTCTCTCTCTGCTCTTGGGGACGTTATTGCATCTCTCTTGCAGAAAAAAGCCACATCCCTTATGGCAATAGCAAACTCACTCAGTTGCTTCAGGATGCGTTAGGTAATCAATAATACTTCATTTGTGAAATTTCATATTCTGTTTCCAACCTCCAATTGCTAGAACGTTTTCCATTTGAAGTATAACATATGATTCTACATTTTGTTCCATTTATTCTTTTATTAAAAGTTAAAACAATGGATGTTTGTGCAGGAGGACAAGCGAAAACGCTCATGTTTACTCACATTAGCCCTGAACTAGATGCTCTAGAATAAACACACAGCACCCTGAAATTTGCATAGAGGGTGGCCACTTTTGAACTCGGTGCTGCTCGAGTCAACAGAGACACTTGTGATGTTGTTGAGAAACTAAAAAAAAACAGATCATTTTCTCCAATATATTGTTAGATTATTTTATTCTTCTTTTTCTGAGTACACGACCAAAAATGATATGTTTTCTGTTTCTTTCAGATGGATAGTTTGAAACTTGCAAGAAAGTGAGAAGAAGACAAAGCTTACAACACCGGTTGTTCTCCAGATGATGATTGCTAGCGATTAGGTTAGAGAATTAACTTGGATCCATTGTACCTACTGTCCTCCTTGACACCTTTTTATTGTCTTATGTTGAGGGTAATTCACATAACATCAGTCCCTCTCTTTGTTTCTCTTCTCGGTTAAGACATAAGCAACATCTTGCCTTCTTCAAAAGCATTTGTTTTTTAGTTTCTTGCATCTGTAAGATCAAACATCAACCCTAAATCGCAAAACGAAAAAAATTGAACTAAAAGGAAGACCAAACCAAACATCCTTGGGATAAAACGTTTGATCTGAATTCATGGGATTGCGGCCGCTCTAATGATATCAATTAATTTGGCCGGAGAATTAACAAAAGTGATATTAGCTCTGCTGGTTAGTGCATGGTAGGAGCTCATGTGTTTGAGCTAGAAGGCCTTGTTTCAATTTTGAAATATAAATACTTTTCAATAATTGATCTAGATCTTTTTTTCCTCAAAGCTCACAATTGATCTAAATCGCAGTGATGTTTATGCATTTTTTAATTTCACTTGGTCAAACTATTAGTAATTGATTAATTTAGAGCTTAATAAAGGATCAACTTTGAATGTTAAAACTTAAATGGCATGTGGAGGCTAGTTATGAATTTATAAACGATTGGGGTACGAAATAGAGCTGGAACTATTAATTTGTTAGGTAGGTAGCTGTTGAGTGTTGACTTCCTCTATTGAAATTTTTGTTTCTTTTGCATCGAATGCCTCTATTCTAGAACCAACAAATATAAAATTAAGAAAAATACAACACCTTTGAATTAAGAGAAATTCAATATTGGCAACGAACTGAACAAGAATAGTACTATTCATTAAAAAAAAAAAACTTGTAAGAAAACAGTTGATTTGAAGTCACGTTTTTAATGTAATTTACAAATTAGTACAATAAATGAATCTTAACCACCTCGAAACGTCGTATAAACAAATATAACCTCTTTATGATGCTTAGAAGTCAAATTGTTTCCAGTATATGAATAATTTTCATTTTTTGAGTAGAATAAACAACCAGTCTTCAAATACAATTTGCGTCAAAGAAGTAAATCTTTTTTTTTTTTTTGTCAAAAGAGTAATCCATTTTTAACACACGAATACAGTATTTAACTTGAAAAAAGCCATGAACAAATTCCAACTCAAATTTGATAGGCAAACTTTAAATGATTGGAAAAATTCGACACGCAAAGATCGCAATAAGGTCGAGAATCTAAAATCCAACGTGGAGAAATAAACAAAAGCGTGATGGAAGTGGACCGAAAGCACACCGTCCAAGACATCTTGTCTTTATCACTCTCATTG